TTTCTCAGTCAGATCCCCAGTCCAGGGAAGAGATCCTGCCTGGGATACTATTCAACCCAGGAGGAAAGATATCCGGGTTCCAAGTGGTAACCAGTGATAAGAACTGCTAGAGAGCTGTCCATGGCATCTCTGGAACTTCAGCCAAAGCTGGCCTGTCCAGCTCATATACTAGAGGGAGTGTGCAGCTTCCCCACCCCAGGCCTCCACCTGGGTCATACTTCCATGCAGTTCAGCCTGCCATTCCTTGTTCTCGAAGAACTTTAATTTCCTCAGTTCACACTCAGAGCTGGGGTACTGTCACAACCTGGTGGATCTTGCCCAGAAGCCCCACATGTGACTTTGGCTATGGCAGACTCTCCCAATGTTGGCGATCCCCAAAGGTATAAGTGAGAAGTTTCCTCTGCCCAATGGGGCTCCAGGGACCTACACATCTGATCTGACTTCACCATGGCCTCTTCTGACAAAATCACTCTCCTATTAGTTCCCTGCCATAGGTGGAAAATAACAAAGGAGCAGGGTGGGGAGGAGGCCATGCCACACTGCCAGGCTCTCAGTTGATACCAACAAAAGTCAACAGGGGCTGCAAGAGTGGTTGGATGTTGAGCTGTGTTGTACCACCAAGAATCCCCTTAAGAAGAGCCTTGGTGGCACAGCTACTGGAAGTCCCCTTCATGGATTGCCTCAGCTACAAAGATGTCTTGGCCGCAGAGAGCCATGTTGCCCAGTCATATTTCTTCTCGAACCAATCCATAGCGATGCAGGCCAGACCCTTTTGGCCTATCTCAGGACAACTCTGAAAGGCCGTTCTAGCTTCAGAGCTCCTTATGAGCCAAGGCTATCTTCGGGCCTACATCACAGTTCAACTTCTCCCCCTGCCTATTCTTGTTTCCTTCCCCTACCTTTAGTGGCAGTTGATCCCAAGGACCTTCCTAAATAATCATCATGCACATTAGACTCTACCTACTTCCTGGAGAACCCAACCCATGTCAAGCTCTGACCCAGAAGTTAGATATTAACATTTAAGCACACCTACATGAATCAACAGATACTATACTTTTTGCTACGGATGCTACTATATAAACTATGCAACACTGTACTCAATTCATTCACACTAACTATTTTCACATGAGATTATAGACTCACTGGTAACATTCCCAAGCTATTTCATGTCCTTTTTTATGAAATACTGACAAGCTTAGAAGTACCAGAGTGCTACAGACTCTTTGGAATCTGGTTAAGTTCTCATTATTAGTGAAATTAATCAGGTACTATTTTATATCTATTTTATTTTCTTTTTAATTGGCTGGAAAAAAAATGTTCTTTCCTAAACATCTCCTGCAGACTAAAACATTTCTAGGCTTTGTCTGCAGAACTGATGAGTATCACCATAAATGATTAGCAATTGGACAAGCCTACAGCTGAAGCATGGGTTGTTTCTGATGTGACGTTCCTGGTCTGTAACTGTTCTAACTCTTACCACTAAGATGGGATAGAACTCACTCATCTCAGCCTTGGAAGGGACTGCTCATGACCTAGCCCCAACTTGAGGAAGGTAAGGCATCTCCATTTTACAAACAATAACAGCAGCTAACATTTAAACTCTTACTATGGGACAGGTGTTGTGATAAGTGCTCACATACATTGACTCACTTAATCCTCACAACAACCATAACAGAAGAACTATTGCTATCTCTGTTTTTGTGATGACACAATCTGAAGGGTTGAGTAACTTGTAAAAAGTCACCCAGTTAGTGATTGTAGAGCTAAGGATTTGAACTCAGGTCCCTGTGACTGCAGACCTGCTCTACACTGCCTCTTGAAAGTACCTGAGATCCGAGGCTCAGTACCTGTCCCATTTGCCAGAGATAGTAAGTGATAAAATGGGGTACGGGTGACAAAAGGCAGAGTGGATGTTTGGCCTTCTCATGCAGTGATCCCTCGTTCAGTGTAGGTGGTGATCTTTTTGTGGGTCATGAAATCAATTCAATGGGTCATGAACAACATTCAAAAGTGAAAAAGAGGAAGGGGGAGGAAGAGGGGGAGGAAGAGAGAAAGGAAAAAAGAAAAGATTATATTGTACTACATATAGTCACCACAGTATTATTTCATAAAAGTTTGTTCCATTATACATGTCCATGCTGAGCTGTTATGAAACAAATGTCTTTTTTACTATGGACTAAAGTACAAAAAGATTACTGAATTTCATTCAAACTCAGTAGTCATAAAGAAAATAAAAATTAAAGTAATAAGATACCACATATTTCTAGAGGCAAAAAAGTAAAGTAAAAACAACCTGAATGCCTATAAATAGAGAAACAGATGAATACATTATTATATATCCACACAACAGCTATTAAAGAATGTCTTAGGTCTATATATATTAAACTAGAGGAATTTCCCATGATTAAGTGAGAAAAGCACACTGTGGATGGTATGATCATATTTTTGTACAATACATGATAAAACCCCCAAAATAGAGGTAAACATTTGGGTTGTGAATTGGGTGGAATGGAAGAGGACAGAGAAATAGAAAGAAGGAAGAACAATAAAGGCTATGATAACTAGCAACAATGAGTATGTACTGAGTATCTTTCAGGTTTCCATGGGAAATAGAGGACATACGCAACCAAGTCAGTCAAGAGTTCAATAACGTGACTGTTTACAAAGTTGTGGGAAGTGCTAAGGAAAACCAACAGTAACCTCCAGTCTCCACGGACTGTAATAGCAGGGAGATGTTACCACCACCTGGGTCTGAAGGGGCACATGAGGGTGGTTACCAGAGTGGGCATTTGTATGGAAAGAGCCTCCAGACAAGTGCTGTGGGCCTTAGAGAGAGGAAGCAGTCAATCTACCATGACTAGCAGGGAGGGAGGCAATTTATCTTCCCTCCCACTCATCACTCTCCTGCTGGTGCATCCTGTTGGCAACCCAACTGGAGGCCAGAGGACCAGGGCCTCATTGATGTGGCCTACAAAGCTCATCTACCCAGGACCAACCCCGACAGGGTCAGAGCAGGGTAGAGGGCACTGGAGAGCAGTCCTAATGGGACACATGGATGACAGCCAATACAGGCTGCTAGAATATTAAACAAAAAAGTGGACTATAAACTCCATTTACCACTTTTCTTTTTATATGTAAAAATTAAATACATAGACAAGAATTAAAAGGTTACCAGGAAAAATGACACTATCGATTTTTCTAGCACCGTCACTAATTTTTGTATTACAAATACATTTTGCTTTCTTATTCCCTGCAGTAAAACAGACCTGAGTTAAAATTCTGACTCCACCATACACTTGCTGTTTCTCTAACTTCCTTATCTCTAAACTGGGAATAATAGAGTGCCTACAATGGCTGAGGATTGAATAAGCTAAGAGATTTTGAGATCTTACAACAGTGTTGGCACACAGTAAGTGCTTGAAGTGTTTGCTATTATTATGGGGACGGTGGGACATTAAGAGCCTCCCAGTGTGTCTGCCAGTTTCCATCCCCTACCCACCCCAGTCCATGTACCATCCTGCCAGAGAAAGCTCCCTATAAAGAGCACTCCTGATCATGCTGCTGTCTTCAAATTTGTCAGTGGTCTCCAGACCTTCCAGGATGATATTCGAACTTTATCCTTGCATAGTATCTCCAGCTCATCCTTCTCCACTCCTCCTCATGTGTCTTCACTCCCACCACACCAATTCCTCCTGATTCTGTACAAGCACCATGTTGTCCTATGTCTCAGAGAACACCGTTGGGAATAGCTTCCTCACACTATGTCGCTTCCTCACACTATGTCGCCTCACACTACCTTGCTAACTCTTATTACTCATCATTGAATTTTCAAGGGTCACCTCCCCTGAGAAGACTTCCTGTTTCCCCCAGTCTGATTTAGAAGCAGCTTCCTCTTCACCCCAGAGCACCCTATGAGGGCTGTATCACGCCACACTCCAGATCATGAGTATACTGATTCCCCTATCAGCAGTGGGTGCCTAAAAGGTAGCAGTGATGGCCTTTGTCTCTGGACCCCAGCCCAGAGCAGAGAATCTGCTGAGAGTGGACACTTCATCCTGATTTATCTGAGGATTAAATTTATAAATAAACTAGGTAAGTAACTTAACTGACCCAAAGTCATTCAGCATTCTGGTAGAGCCAGAATTCATCCTCAGCTCTGTTTGATTCCAAAGGCCACCACTGTCCCCCAACCATCTGCCCTTGACATTCTAGAGTAGCTGCATGCCTGAGGGAACTCCCAGGAGCACTGAACCAGCTCAGACCAGAATGAGCTAGTCAGCAGAGACCGGGAGGAATAAACACTTCCTTTCTGGGAGGATCAACCACATGACATTTGCGTTATCAAGGGACTTTCCCAAGAAAATCAATTTCTGGAGCATGTTAAAATACAAACAAACCACCATCCACCCACCCACTTCTTAAAGACAAGTGGTCCAAAGAGATCTTCGAGAATTCAGACAATTCCACAATGTTGAGAGCACCATCTGATCACATGAACTTTGTTTTCCCTAGCCAAGCATTTTTCTATGGAATTTTTCTTTTAAATTTGGCTCCACTGTGAAATGTGCATCCTTATACTCTTATTGTTTTACCCATGGCAAACCTGTGTACACAGCCACAGATACCCTGGGGATTCTTGACATAGGCACCATTTGATATTTGCTCTTGTGGCTTATGATGATATTACCAGAATCCCTTGAAAACAGTGTTTATATCTATTTATAACTGTAACCTATTATCCTATTTTCCATATAATTGGATGCGACTGAGGTTAAAAAAAATTCAGCTGCATAAGAAGTCATGCTCTTACAGAGCAGATGTTTGCTCAGCAGCATGGAAAGTAAATTAGCCTTTAACACAAATACCCAGAAACACTTAAGTGCTCTTTCCAAAAGCACTGATGTTAATATTTTACAGTGAAAAGTAATTTAAAGATAAAGGATGTTAAATATGCAAGGGAGATAGCCATAGCTGGTTTTCAAAATAGGTGCTAATTTTACCTCTTTAAGGTACGGTGCTGCTTCCAAGTCAGGCATTGGATTCAATCTCCAGTTCAGGGTAGAGAAAAATGACTCATAATTTATTTGTTTTTCACTGTCTTCAAATCTGAAAATATAATTATAATATATAATTTGAGTGAATTGGCATAATTCAGGATCAAAATGTCAGCTTCAATTTTACCATGAAAACATAATACCATGAATGCTTCACTATCGGATATCTTTTGTATTTCTTATTAGTTTATTATCTGCTTCTGACACTCCAGAATGTAAATTCTTTGAGAGCAGGGATCTCACCTATCTAATTCATCAAAGTATCCCTAGCAACAAGATCAGTGCTGGCACTTAGTAAGTATTTGTTGTAGGTGCCAAAGAAACAAATTTGCTTATTCAGTAACTAAGACCATTGCTATATTTTTTAAAGAATATTTAGTGGCTCAGCCTCTAATACCAGCACTTTGGGAGGCCGAGACAAGTGAATTCGAGGCCAGTCTGGGCAACTTGGCCAGACCTCGTCTCTACAATTTTTTTTTGTTTGTTTTTTGAGTCAGAGTCTCACTCTGTCGCCCAGACTGGAGTGCAGTGGCCGCTCCCGGCCACCGCAGCCTCAACCCGCTGGGCTCCGGCGATCCTTACGCCTCAGCCTTCCAAGTAACTGGAAT